TAACGATCGTACAAACGATAGATGCTCAACAACAGTCCAAATCCGCTCTCTCCTTTTTATTCACAGACGTAGGGAATAGTGAACGAGGGTTTAGGGGCGATTTCGGATTCATCCCCGTCTTTGTTAATTCACTTTTTACTTTGATATTCTTTTGTCTAGTGTTGCCTTTGTTCAGTGCACTTAGTTCCTGTTTCCTTGGTTGCCTTAGTTATTCATTGTTTAAAGGGTCATTCCACCACTGGAAAGAGGAATGTGTATTTAAAATGGGTAATTTATGTAGAAGAAATGTGAAATTATTTTTGAATGTGGAGCTTTCTAGACTGAGAAAAGCCAGAAAATTTATTTTTGGCTTATGGTTCCTAGTGGTTAGTTATTAAATGTGAGTTTATTATCCTTCTGAGCCATATGCATCTGTGGCTTATAAGTAAACCCAGCACATTTACTATTTTATTTTATTTATAGGGTTTGCAGGGGTAAAAATGCTTTATTTTATTTTCATGTGTCGTTTTTTGTTATATTGATTTGTTTTTATAATAAAATATTTAATAAAGTAAAATACTTTTGTAATATTTCATTTTGTTGGGTGTTCCTTTTCATTTCAAAGGAGAAGTTAGTTATATATAGCCTACACATGGTGTAACAATAACTTATAGCCACACAGTAATATGCACGGATAATATGTTGTGTGTATAAAAACTACCGTAATCAATTATACAGCATAGTAACTTTACAGTATTTTAAAGTATACAGTGCAAAAAGTAGAACTAATTAATTTTACAGTATAAATATACTGTACATTATTATACAGTATGCTGTGAACAACTGTAGTCAGATTTACAGCAATTTTACCATGGAATAAAACACTGAAGCTTGCTTGATATTTGTTGCCAGTAAGTTACTGTTGATTTTTAATGTTAAATTTGTTACAGTGTACTGCATACTGTAGCTATGCTAGTATATGCTAACTACTAGACCAATTCAAAGGAATCACAAATCAAGCAGGTGAATTACAAACAACATATTAAGAGCTGCCTAATTTACACTACACATGCACAAATTATCAACTACTGGACCAAAACATCTGCAACTTCCTCCAAAAATTCCCTCATTATAATCAACTGATGTGTGTCAGGTGCTAGAAAGTACTTTTGACCATCAACACAATCTATGAGTCCATGTGATTGTGTTTTTTGCGGTTATCAAGTGACCAAAAACATTATTTTTTTCCCACTTGAACTTATACAAACAATGATTTGACAAAGACATGAACAATGTGTAAGCAAACCAGCTAAATATAGTAGCTCTGATTAGATAAAAACAAAGATACTCTGGAGAGGAGGAAATTCCCAATGGAGGACCGCTAAGTAGCATACATCTTCCCATCACTACAAGTGTGTGCGGAGAGTATAGGACGAGGTCAGTGCACTGTTATCTCAGGCCAAATGTCAAGTCAAATAGCAAGGGATGATTTTGACATTCCTCAGCATCTATTTCAGTTGAAGCTTGAAGAATGACGAGGACTTTGGCTGCTATGCCATTTGAGTAATAGCTTGGCAATGTTAAGGAGTTTTCCACTTCAATCTGCTGTTGTTTTCCCAGACTTTTAATTGTACAAACCCCTTAAAAAAACACCTGTGGTGAAAATCGAGTTTTTAATGTTGGTTATATGTCTATTAATAGACTTTAAGACGAACCATGTGCAAATTCTTCAGTCAGCACCTTTGCTGAGAATTTCTCCCTAAAACTGCAGCGCACCAAAGACAGTAAATGTAGTTTGAAACCACCCCTGTTTCATGACGGGACCAATCCCGTCAATGTGAGGGACAGGACAGGGCTTTTTCCTCTGACGGAACGAGGAAACATGGTTTGTGTAATATTAGCAACACATTATTAGGTGTTTGATAATATAGTCAAGCCAAAGGCTATTGTTGTGTCAGACGTTGTAGAGAGCGATACATAAAACGCATCACCATTCTGATACATCGACTTGTATATACGAGCCTATAATTCACTCTTCCTCATCTTCTTCTTCAGTTTCTGGTTCAAACATGTATGGATGAATTAAACCAATATATCCACTTGCCACAGCATTTATTACAGTAAAGTTGATCGAGAAGATCTGGTATCCTAAACTTTTGTGAGTGAGTGGAGGCGGAGCTAATTTGCATATTAATGATTCCACATATAGTAAATAAAGCAAGGGTGTATAGTTACATTCAAGATATTTTAAGGCATGAATAAAAATATTTTGATTATCAAAGATGATTAAAGGTATAACATTTTTTTTACAGCAGGGGCACTTTAAGAGGTCTGACATCAAACTCTCTCCTTCAGTCTATTGCAATTAATAATATCCAGAGCCACTTTAATACTACACTTTAATACAATAATAGACAAGTTCTGCTTCAATACATTCAGATCCTCGTTCAAATTTGCATAATAGCTACACGACTGGATACACTTGTGACTAAATTCTTGAAATTACCCTCAGAGTATATTTCATTTAGGCTGTTTGAAATATAGTTCTTCTTTTAGTGTTATTTGTGTGGTTTATCCCATGGAATTACCAAATTAGTAAAGCCAAATACCCTGCTGAAAAAAGCATATCATATCATAGAGACTTGGAGGGCTCTTGTGAATTTAATCACCATGAAACCAACCAGAATACCCTAGCAACTGTAAAGCAACACTCTAACACCATTCAGAACCTCTGTTATTTATACTATTATAGTTTTTTTTAATGTTTTCATTTTTCATTTTCATTTCTTAATTGTTTGAAATTTTGCAATATATATATATATATATATATATATATATATATATAGACACACTCATATAGGCCTATTGTATATTTACAAACTTTTATGTTAGATGCAATTAATCACATAATTAATTTGACAGCACTGTTTATTTTATTTGAGCTTTATTTCAATTAACAAGCAACTGTTTTTTTATATTATATTTAAATTTTTAATTGTCTGGCAAGTACTAACAAATCTATCTATCTATCTATCTATCTATCTATCTATCTATCTATCTATCTATCTATCTATCTATCTATAAATTATAGGAACGTCTGTCTGCCTGTTATTCGCATATCTCTCGAATCGTAAGTCCGATGGATTTCAAACGTGACAGGTGTCTACGGGCACAAGTAAGTGCAGTGCCAAGATTGACATTGTTTGGATTAGAAATGCGAAAGATATATCGGTAAATATATCGGTAAAAGAATCATACATTTGGCCTAGCCGCTCTAGCCGCTGGCCACTCCCCCTCTCTCACGGCACACTGAGTGGCCGCTCCCCAAAATAAACATTCTGACATAAGTGGTTTGTGGTTTAAAAAAAGATTTTTTATTATTATTTTGAAAAACATACTAATCTCTTAATTAAGAGGTTCACCACACCTAGATTATGACTACATTTATTTGCTATAATTTATTTAATAATGCCGATATATTCCCACATGAATCATAGCACGTGTTTGATGAGTCGGTCTGGGTTTGGGTTTGTTTGATGGGCGGTGTGGTTGTTAGGGTGGAGTATGCACTAAGGGTTACACACGTGCTTAGGGGTGACATGTGGCTCCAGATCATTCGGAACACTGGTGTGAAAGGAACACTGGGTATTTATGGAGGCAGAGGGTCTTGGGCATCTGTTTAGCGCTTTAGGATTAGCATGGGCTTGAGGTAAAAGGAATTTGAAAAATGATGTACAAAATTTGGGATCGGTAAGATTTTTTAAATGGTTTTGAAATAAGTCTCTCCAAAAAAGAAGGCTCTCTTACTCACAAAGGCTTTAATCAAAATTGCAGTAAAAACAGTGATATTGTGGTCCTATATTAATATTTTAAAACATGATTTATTCCTGTGATGACAAAGCTGAATTTTCAGCATCATTACTCCAGTCCTCACAGTCTCACATGGTCCTTCAGAAATCATTGTACATGTAATATATGATTTGCTGATTTGAAAGCCCCAAAGCACACTTGTGTAATTGGACTCTACTCAGCTAAGGTCATGTGACTAGTCCTAGTCTCAACTCACTGATTTTAATGTGGTAAATGTTATAATTTTACACTTTTCAGTCATTTAAAACCATTGTTTTATAGCTAGTAATGTTTTGTCCCACCTAGTCAACACAGCAGGTCCCTGCATTGCAGCTGTGCAAATGTGCTAATACAGCAAAATTACTGACGCTGTAACACTGACACACAAATGAACGTAAATACGCTTGACGCTGCAAGACTCACATTCCTCTCACTGAAATCAGCTGTTGGCAGAGAGAGTCAATATTCAGTTAGATGTCAAGAAGAGGCACTTTCACAACAGTACTAGTCAGGGGTCTGTCTGTTTGACAAGCAGACTAAGCAATTTAGAGATTTATGGAAGTCAACAGGACTCGGCTGTGTGTTACTGAACGAGTTGGAGTTGAAAGGTGCACATTTGCTCTGCTCAGTGCTGATACTGACTGATCAGAACAAGGGAGAAATTACGTGGACACGTGGTTGAGGCAAAAGCCTGTAAGAGCTGGCAAAGATCTGAGTCTAAAAAAAGATGTGGTGACACACATTTTTGGGTGTGTGGAACAACAGTGATGAAGTCAAAAATGTAATACCGCCATATAGTGACCTCAACCCAAACAAAAAGAGAAGTGTTGTAAGCACGTCTGGTCCTGCCAATATCATTCTCCCACTGATTTCCACTAGTAACGGTCTGGCAAGTGCTGAAGAATCCCTATTCATGAGAAGTGAAAGGAGCTATTGTTGGATGCCTTTCACATTCCCGTTGAAGGATGTAAAAAGGAAGAGCCAGTGGCAGTAAGTAAGCAGACTGAAGCCCCTGCCAGCAGGGCTGCTGAGCTAGACGGCCCGCCAACATGGTGACTGACAGGTTTCCTGACCAATGAGAGAAGATGTCAGAATGGAGCGCTGAGAGGAGACCTGTGAGAGAGGGCGGGGCTATGCAAATACCGCGTGGTGCTTTTAGTGGGATAATAAGAGATGCGCTCCAGCTCTCAGCCATTGGTCGGATTGAGCGCGTGCAAGACAAACCTTGTGAGAGAGAATCCAGTTTGAGTTCACCATGGCTTCAAAGTGTCCTAAATGCGAAAAGACTGTGTATTTTGGTAAGTTTGAGTTTATGTTAACGTTTCTGGTTTATTCTGTACCTCTTTTTAAAACTCATTCACCGTTATGTTTTGGTATGATGAATGACATCCTCGCTGAATAAGTAGGAAAGCGATTATTTGTTTACACAGGAGTTGATAAAACAGATTTAAACTGATGAGGGTTTGTGATAGATCATAAATCACTCGCAATTAGGAATCTAACGTTAGTTATACTTTCTAGTGAATTACCGCTTTCATAACTCTCCAAAATTAACATCTTGAACTTGCTGACGAGGAGATGCGGCACCTTCCATGAATAGCCTACGGTGCACTTTGGTTTCCCATGGCTTTTGCAAAGCATTACAGGGACAAATTGCATGCTTTTAAGATGTGAGGAAAACTATGAAACATTATTTTATTAATAATTTTGTCACACAAAATTAACTTTTTATGAAAAGTAACTAGTTGTAAACAAATCAAATATCAGTATCCTCCCCACTGACACTTGGCCTGTTCCACCTCGTCTTGATCTAACACTTAAAATCATGTCATTTAAAATTAACTAATTTTACTGATCAATTGTGTCCAATCATTTAACATAATTTAAGGAGAAAAAAAATCGATTATATTTATTACTTTTATGTTTAAGAATTTAAAATGTTTATATTTATTTATACATTATGGATTAGTTTTATACATTTAATTTTTATATTTATTTAATGTTTTATTTAATGTAGAATATTGCAAAATCTCACAAATCATGGATTTAAATTGTATTTAGACATGCAATGTTGCATATTCAAATGATTTTTTGTGGTTGATGATCATCATTTTCTGAAGGCTATTCTCTTTTTTTTTTTTTTTTTTTTTTTGAAGGCTATTCTCATCCTTATACCCGAACCAATTGTTGAGAAATGAACGCATAATTTTTAAGCTTTTCTGGCCATATTTTAAACTGTATTTGTGGAAAGTACCATACGTACAATTAAATATGTAAAAGTAAACTTTTTACGTTCAGACTGCTGAGTGCAGTAGCAGCCAGTTTATATTCATACAATTTATGCCCACTTCTGCAACACTAATAATAAACAGTTGTGTCTAAGTCCTGTCTGCAGTTATTACAATCATCTCTTTCTCTCTCTTTTTTTGACTAAACTTTATGTTCCACTCCCTTGACCGGATGATGGGCTATTTTTATAAACACTAAAATGAAAGCTTTAAAGTTGCTGTACATTGCTTTTATAGACTTCTTCTAGTTTTCTTTAATAATACAGCATGTGCAAGTTTTGGAAGCTGAAAGATGTGTGAATGACTTGCCTCTTCTCTTCATTTATACCCATTTTCTAGTCAGCATTGATGTCTGCATATACATCTCAATCCATTAAACGGATGAATAGCCTCTCTCCCACTTGACCTTATCATCCCTGCTCTCATATTTTTAAGGTTATTCATCAGTGCATCATAGCATGTGTGCTGGAAACTGAGATGATTATTTAGCTCTTATTTATGTTATATTAATCTGTGTGTCAAGCGAAAAGCCATAACACACGACCAATAAAGCTGTCGGGTTGTTTTGAATCAATGGTGTGAACGAGGTGCTGTTATATAAAAGCATGTGCTGCTCTTTCCATGGCTGTGTGTTTAGTGGGTGGGCAGAGATATATTTTTTGTTAAAAGCTGGTTTTAGCTTCAGGATCAAGATTTCACATTGGACATCTGCAAAATGCATTGATATTCCCATCAACCTTATACCCAGCAATATGCAAAATGACTGATAAACATGACATGGGTCAAATGAACTATTTTGTTTAAAGGGTCAGTTCACCCAAAAACCCGTAAGACTTTCATTCATCTTCGGAAAACACAAATGAAGATCTTTTTGAAGAAATGAATTAGTTTTACGATCTCTTCATGAACTTTTTGAAGTGTCAAAGCGCTAGTTGCATAGCTGTCAATGGAGGGACAGAAAGCTCTCAGATTTTTTTTTTTTTTACGGGTTTGACGGGGGCGAGTAAAATGATGGTGGGGTTTTAATTTTTGGGTGAACCCTTTGAGAAACAGGTTCTTAAGTCATTATGGCTGGGTTTAATGCAATATTCAATTGCATTTAGATTATTTATTTATTTATTTTTTTTACCATAAGGGAGGAATTGGAGCTGTTGCTGATGTCAGTGTTAGTGGTTCATGATGCCATAATGCAGAAGAAAGGACAAAGCAGGGTTTCACCCAAGACCTCGGTTTACGTCACGAGGGTGCTGTTTGAGATGCGGGTGACTGTGCTTTTATTAGACTCATGTTGAAGCCAAGACACATTCCATACAGCTGTGGAAGAGCAAGGGTGCGGTCCTCCACTTCTGGTCCTCCGAGTCAGTCCTTTCCTATGAATATGAAAATGTCACCGAGTGGAATATTTGAGGGTGAAGGTGAAGGCTGCATCCAAATCCACAGTCTAGACATAGAATGAGCGGAAAACAGTTCACGAAATACAAATATTTATTATTATTTAATAATAATCAATTGTTTTATCTATTTATCAGAGTTAACATTCAGTATAAAATGTGAGTAATTTTATATTTTAAAATATAAAAATATTTTAAAAAGATCAGTATTACCAAATGCTGTTTTTTTTTGCAAATGCAGCTGCTCCAGATGGTATTTCCAAATTGAGTTTGTGGGAGTCAGTGCATGTGTTCCTGTAAATTCCTTCCTGACTATATCCTGTTTCAAACCTAAATGGTAAGCCACTGTATTGCGTGGAAACTTTTCAGTTGAACCTTTTATTCATTTATTGGACAGCTGCTTGCAGATGCTGTGGGTTTTCTTGCACAAGAGCACGCGTTAAAAGCTTTGTTTGTCACATGCAAATGTGACGCATGGAATCAGTGCTTTCCCATTTTTCAATCAAAATGGGTGGACATTTGAATTCAAGTCTGTTTGAATCTGTATATTCTGCAAAATAATTATCTGGATTATATCCATTTCCAAATCTGTACATGCATATTACATGACACACCTTTAGAAGCAATTATGCAACAAATTCAGCTTTGTAGGAAATTCCTGAAAAATCTTTCATATTTTTCTCTTTTCCCTTTTGAAAGCCTGCTCTCATTCTTGAATAGAAGAATGCTTTCTTTCTTAGATGCCAGTGACATCAAAATGTCAGAGGGCATCTCCATCATGTCATACAGACAGAACTCATTGTCGTCCTGTTGGTTTAATGGAAAGTTGTTTAATCCTCATTTTTCCTTTTTATCTATTTTTTTCTTTCTCTGTCCCCAATTCTTACCGTCTCATGCACTTTTAATGAGTGTGTCCATTATAAAACCCTGTGTCTTCCAGATGGCTACCCCACTAGCTGTTTGAATGTGCAGAATCTGTTACATAATGCCACTTTTTGCCTGTTTAGGGGCATTGCGTAATCTTGGGAGTCAGAATTGGGGGCCATTCTCCTTGTCTGTCAGGATTCCTGGCAGGCATGAACCTCGACCATAGTTACAAGATGTTTTTTACTCTTGTTGCAAGGTTAGCAAGAAGAAAGACCTTAGCAATCATGTAATTATACTTGTGTTTTATAGGACTAGTCTTTAAACTCACATTATTCGGATTCGACCTACCCGAAGGCCCATAATTTGTCTCCATAAATTTGCTCTACCTGGAGACACATCAAGGGAAATTTAATGCTGCTGCTTGTATTTTTTTCCCCTCTAGATTGTTCATAAATCAACCCATGCATGTATTATCAGAATTTATTGAAATAAAAAAATCGTAAATATAACTGGGCGAATCTCACAAAAATAAATCGCTGGGTCAGATTTCACCCCAAAATCAAAAGGCAAAAAACGAAATTATTTGTAGCATAATTAAAATGATGCTTATTTAAGGACCATTGTTTTTTTTAGTTTTTTTGTATTGTAATTTAGTTTCTGGGCTCTATTTTTATGACAATTAACATTTATCCCCAAATTCAGTATTTAAGTAAGACATCCAAATGTTGTTGTTTTTCAGCATTTCCTATTATTTTCCAATGCCGATTTATTATTTAATTAATGTCAATTTAGTTAAATTACAGTGTTTTTTACTATTTAAATCAGTATGAATTACAAGTCAGCAGAGAAAAGGCAGCCATAGTGAATTAAATTTAATACATATTTTTCATATTATGGTAAAATAATACTGTTGCATTAATGAGAACTGAACTGAGAAATGGGCTTAATTGTCATGAAAACATTACAATGCAAAAGATCCCCTTGTAGTCAATAATTGCATCCCTTAAAACACATCTTTGATAGCCAAAATTACATATTTAAACTTTTTTTTTTCTTGAAATTTTTTTTCTTGCCTTAAAAGAGCTTGAATGTAAATCTACACCCTTGCCTCATTTAGCAAATGTAGTTCTATGAACGTGCAAATTAATCCCACCTCCACTCACTCACACCAGCTCAGAGATCCACTCGTTGACGATCACACTTTGACGTTTTTTGTTACGAGGTAGTTTGTGACGTCAGAAACACCAGCGGTTTTGAGATTGTCTTTGGTTCTCTGCAGTTTTAAGGAGAAAAGTCTCAGCAATGGTGTTATGAATTTACACATGGTTTGTCTCAAAGCATATAAAAAAACAACCCGATCTCACGGAAATTTGTACGAATTTTACGAGGTGGCTAATTCGTAACAATTCGTACAACCTCACTCATACGAATTAGTATGATTTTTGGTAAATCGTACATATTTTACGAGATGGCCAATTCGTATGAACTCGTACAAATGACCTACCCCTGACCCCGCCCCTAAACATACCAATCACGTGGGTTTAGACAAATCGTACGAGTGAGGTCGTATCATATGAATTAGTACGAATTAGCCACTTTTTAATCACTCGTAAGATTTGTACGAATTGGTCGTGAGATATCGTAAAAAAAACAAAACATAAACTAGCATATAAACAAAATTAAAAGCTTGATTTACACCACAAGGGGACTAGTTTAAGCAACAATTTCTTACTTTTGATTTTGGAATACAAC